GGAAATGAAAATAAAGTTCAAATCTTGTATTCTTTGAATTTAGCATCGTTCATTTATTCAGGATATAAAGTATGTCATCCTATATTGAAACGTTGAAGGAAAACAACTGTAGACATTTGTTTTAAGGTTGTTGAAGTAATAACGATGGAGTTATTATTAGGTGTATGTTGTGCTTCTCAGGTATAATGATAGGTAACTTATTTTTACTTTGAATGGTCTCCATCAGTTCTATACACAGATCAGCACTAATAATTGTATCATATATACAATTGCATCAACTACTGACGAGTAATAAACAGTTTTTCAGTTGGGATATGTTTCATTATTTAATTAACGCTGTTTTGACACAAAAGAGCGGATCATAATCATACTATAATCGAGTATAACTTGATGGTGACCCATTTCTCTGTGTCGAACATATTTCTACTGCAAAACTGTTTATTACTCTTTATTGGGATAGTCACTTTACTACCGTTATTGCAAAAACTACTGTTATGCTATTAATTAAGGTTTACACCTTGATTAGATATAACTGTGTACTTTTCTAGCTGGATAAGAAGGTTTCAGTTACTGAAGTTTGTCTCTTCATAGCCTCAATGGGACTGCTAAGTTAAATTCAATAAATTCAAAGGGTAATGCAAAAGCTAGAAGACGATCTGGACATCCTTGATCATTTTTTCAATAGGTTTTTATATAAAATATATTTAATTTTCCCTTTCAGGAACATGCTAATTTTCAGTTCATTCTTTTCTATTTTCTTATTAGTTAGATGAATGCCACTAAATGTTAAATTCCAAATACTTTACCCAAGGCCTTTACTTCGTAGTTACAAAGACAGTCATAGCATTATTACATCCTCCCCCCAAGCATCGTCTACTCATTAATGTCTTTATGCTTCTGAAATCATTAGCAGGTATTGAACTAAACCGTCGTCTTGAACCCATTCCAGACACAAGTATATATATATATATCATTCTCGTTATACATTAAATCAATGATTTTCTCAAGAAATGTTTTTTATTAATCAGCATTTCATATTAATTTTCACTGCATTCGCAAACTCACTAAATTTCTGAGAGTTTGAATAATTGAAACTTATAAAGATGTTTTTTCGCGATTTTGATGAAAGTTTTTTGGAAATCGTTTCTTAAAAAGAAAAACCCTCAAATTAAAATAAATGAAAGTGAAAAAATATATTCATATGGATGTACAGTTTCTTATTTTTTTGTAAAAATGATATAATTAATCAAATTACCTGAAAACAAAACTGCTAAAATAATATACTTTTAAAGCCTAACAGAAGTGATTTAAATAACCCTTTTTTACAGGTGATTTTCTTCTTATTCCTTGAAAAATATCGAAGCAGAGGTATCTATCAAATGAACACAATGCTTCTTAAAAAATGGAAAGAAAGAAATGCACAAACAGCAGAAGGGCATTTAAAAAGTTACAATACTAGCGAGTACTTAATATCACAGAACTATACTTAACATGGCTGAACTATACTGAAGTTAGTTATCTATACATTACTGATCTACATGTATACTTAATTATACTTAATATGGCTGAACTATACAGAAGTTTAGTTATCTATACATTACTGATCTACATGTATACTTAATTATACTTAATATTGCTGAACTGTATTCAGCGCCGTAGCTCCAATACTTGAAACTATTCATGCATACTATGGGAATTCTGAGGGAACAAAATATTTGCCAATTATTTTGGCCTATAATTTTGTCCAATAGCCCTTAAGCCATAAAAAGAGAGAATTATATCCTACCATCTGTCGCTCGGTAGATTAGGGAATAAGTGTTTAATAATAATAATAATAATAACAGTTTTGTAACAACAGGTTAAAAAAAAACACCTATAAAAGTGTTAGAATTCATATTATTGGCGGAAATGATTTAATGTAAATATTTGTTCCTTTGTATTTCTGATTTACAAATTGATGAAAAATCTTTTTTTTTTTTCTTTAGATAAAAGTCGTTATTACCTGTGCAGCGAAAAACCAAATTGTAACTAAGGTCAATCTGTTTTATCGCTGCTCGGGCAATAACGACCTTTATTAACAAAGATTATTAAAAGAATTAAAGAAGATACCAATGATGCAAAACTTTGTTCAATCATTTTATAAAAATCATTTCTGAACGAGCAGTGCAGCTGTGAGTTTCACCAGTAAGTGAGAAGAGAGGAAATGCCTTCTCAGGAAGAGTATCACGAAAGGTCAGCGATATTTTCCATCATACTTAACTAGCCCCTAATAAATGTTGTTTAAGGCTCATAACGTAGATTAATTAATATGTAGAATTATACACGAACATTTATCTACGTTAAAATACTTTTATTTGCGTGCTGTCGGCCCTCCTACTGGGGCCTTTATCAGGCAATAATGTACTGAGCGATAAAAATCCATTAACCGTGGAACTTCGTTTCAAAATAGGTATCTAGGCAACAGTCGTAATACTAACTGACATCTGGTATTAAAATGATTAAATACATAGAATTATGATGAATCCATATAAATAAAAATAGTAATGTTTGTTGTCTGTTATATGTTCATGTAACTACTTCGCAGGGTGTGGATGGATCATCACCAAAATTGGTTTGGAGGTTCATTAGGTCCATGCGGGGATACATGCAAATTTTCAGTTTTTAATATTGCGTTTTTCAGTTTTTATTGCCATTTTTTATCACTACTCCCCCCCCCCCGTTGTCATAAAAGTTTTTGGGTTCATGCGGAGATACATGCGAATTTGCAGTTTATGGGCGTTTTTTCATGTTACACGAAATTTTCTACATAACAAAACCATTATTTTAATTATTGTCCGTAGGATTTTAACAAGTTATCAGCATCTATATTTAATCATTATCTGTAAT